AACTAATTAAGGAGAGAAGCAACCGTGAACTAAGGAGAAATTTCCTGACCGTTAGAACAATTAATCAGTGCAACAACTTGCCTCCAGAGATTGTGAATGTTCCAACACCGAAAGTTTTAAAGAAGAGGTTGGATATCCATTTGTCTGAAGTGGTGTGGGATTTCCTGCCTAAGCAGAGGGTTGGAATAGAAGACCTCCAAGGTCCCTTCCAACTCTGTTATTCTATTCTATTCTATTCTATTCTATTCTTGAACCTCCTACGAAGGAGAAATTTGAACAATGCATGTTATCTCCCAAATCAGACAAAGAACACAAGAGTTCATTCTATCTCTCTGTCACCTTTCAAATTTTGAAGTTTGAATTTTAGAAATCTTTTTCTGACAGACTGAATTATAATCCCCTGAAGAACATTCTGGGCCTGCTAATGTCACAATGATCCAATAAAATCTGGATTAATTTCATCTTGATTGTAAAAAGGCAGACACAGTTACGTAAACAGATTTTTTTAAAAAAAGCCAAAAATTAGAAACTACAAACTGGTTCTTAAAGAGCTTCCTGAGCAGATTGAAGCTCTCAGTTCTTATATTCCAGCACATACTTCCTTGCTTAAAACACAATTAATTTTTATTTAAGAAATCATTTCCTCAAAAGCTAAATAAAAAAAAACAGATGCCTGTACAAGAGACTTCACAATACTGGGGAAGAACTACATCCACTATTTTTGTAGGAACTGAATTGACCATACTAGTAAAGAGAAAATAAATTGTTGGTTTATTTTTTTTTGTTGGTTTCTTTTCTTTTTTTCTTTTGTAGAAGCTGCTGTGGTATTAAATGCATTACTGCTATTAACCCTTAACTTCTTATGTTTCAGATATTTGGAACACTATATAAGAAAAATACAAACAAAATTAACCATAGCCCATTTACAAAATAAAATTAGATTTTCAATTATGACAAGCCTTTCGTGCACAGGTAGTCCTCACAACCACAATTGAGCACAAAATTTATGTTACTAAGTGAGAAATTTCTTAAGTGAGTTTTGCTCTGTCTTACAACTTTCCTTCCCACATTTGTTAAGTAAATCATGGCAGTTGTTAAGTTGGTTAAGTCAATCTGGCTTCTCCATTGACTTCGCTGGTCAGGTGGCAAAACGGAATCCCCTCAACTTTAGACGATTTCAATATCAATTCTACTATTTTTGTTCAGATGCATCTTCCATGTATGTGAAAGCATAGAAAGAACTACCAGTACAAGAAGGCAATTTGATTTTACATTTTAATAGGGAAGGCTGAACTAAATTATTCCATGACCATTGAGACCATTGTTTTCTTATTCAGAGACTAATTACTATAAGTTGTGCGATGGATCAGTGGTTAAAGATGCTGAGCTTGTTAGCTGGAAAGCTAACAATCCATGTTTGAGACCTGAGCACTGCGTGACGGGGTAAACTCCCTTTACTCACCCCAGCTCATCGGTTCAAAAGCATGCAAATGCAAGTAGATAAGTAGGTACCACTTTAGCGGGAAGGTAACAGCGTTTTGTGTGCCTTAGCATATAGTTATGCTGCTCATATTAAAGTAGGATGTAAAGTGAGATTTGGACATTAAGTGTGAAACCTACTGGGTCAGGCTGGACAGCCTCTCGGGG